ACAGCTCTCCGGGTCATGAAGACACACAAGCTTCACCACCACGGCAAGGTGTCAGCCCAAGGTGAAGGGAGTCATTGTAAACGAAGTAATTGTTTGAGCGAGTAAAATCCAGAAGAGAAACAATATCATCTGTAGAGAGGCTGGTTCTTAGATGTAAGGTTGTATCTTCATTGAGTTTTTTTGATGTATTCACAAGCTTTCTTAACTGGGATGGCAGTAACGAGTGAGACGACATCAAAAGAAACCATGGCTTCGTCATCGGAAATTTTTAGATTGACGACTTGGTCAACAAATTCACTTGAGTTGGAGACAGAGTAGCCGTTACAGTTCTGGATAGGTGCCAGGATGTCGGTGAGAAATTTGGATGTGTTATAGGGAGCAGAACCAATACAGGAGGCAATGGGCCGAAGAGAGTAACCTGGTTTGTGATGTTTAATAGAACCTCGTATGGCGGGTGGAACAGCGACCGTGGATCGAAGTTTACGATGAGTCGACTCGTCAATCTTATCCTTCTTCTTGAGATCTAGCAACATGTGGTTAAGTTCTCTTTCGATTTTGGCAAACGGAGATTTCTGGACGAGCTGGTAAGTCAAGTGATCACTGAGTAAGACTTCCATTTTCTCGTTATAATCAGATCTATCCATAACAACAAAACAGTTACCTTTGTCCGCTTTCATTATTAGGCGAGTGTAACGTCTTCCTTCAGGTTGTTAAGGGCTTTTCTTTCAGCTTTTGAGAGGTTGTTTTTCACCGGCAGACGAGCTCTGTGAAGGATGGAGGCGGTAGACGTTCGGAAAGAATCTTTGGTGTCATCCGGAAGTCGGACAATGGTTGCTTCAACCTCGGCGACGATGTCTTTAGTCGGGATCTTTCGTGGACTTGGTGCAAATTTCGGGCCTTTTTCTAAGATGGAACGTTCGTCCATCGAGAGTGGCTTTTTGGATAGATTAACAACCCAGTTATCTTTGTTGATAGGTGTGGACTGGGTTGATATTGTTTCTCTTCTGGATTTTACTCGCTCAAACAATTACTTCGTTTACAATGACTCCATCTACAAACAGATTCATGGTTGCGCAATGGGCAGCCCT